AATGATGATGCATACAATGGACTCTGGACAAGGTGCGCTCCTCTCAGTCTTCCTACCAATATGACCGAGCTGCGAAAACAAGGTCAAACAACTTCTATAACTTTGCTTTATCGACAATCCCACTAAAGAACATGATATGGGAAAATACCTGGCCTTCCTCGAAATGCACATCTACCCTGGGGCCAAAGTGCCCTCGTGGCTATGGGGCGTAGTGGTTCACATGTCGAGATGACACGCTGCAATGTCATGGTTAGAGTCCCACTGAACGTGTTTATAGGACCTATGCGAGGTCCCAACTGCCGTCCACCTTTTGGGATTAAATGGAAACGTCAGCTCGACTTATATGCTCATAACCTTAAGCGAAGTAGGGTGAATGCATTTCATATAAATGTGCTAACGCCCTGTAGTTAAATTCATCCATAACTTGGTATTTCAAGCCAGACAATTTCATGCAAAATTTTTCTTTTGGAAATTAAGACTAAGATGTCATGGCCTCTGTTTCGGCCGCAGTCTCCTTTTGATTTATAGATACACTCTGACCTCGTTTTCGCAACATGTTCATATTGTCAGGGGAGACTTAGTTGGATGCACCTCTCTTTCGAAGTCCTTTACTATAGTAGTTATCATAATTGCCACCGTCGGACCGTGGACTTGGTACATTCCTATACGTTTCGCGGGCATCGTCAGTGAGTTTTATCATTTTCGCTACCAAGCTACAATTTCACATGTCTCTTTGACAAGTTGTAGCTTGGTGTTGAGAATGGCAAAACTCCCTAACGATGCCGACTATGATGTCGGCGAAACGTCTGAATATGCAGAAAATCCACAGTCTGAAGCTGGGACATATAATGACTACTATGGCAGAGGACTTCGAACAAGATGCGTCCAACTAAGTCGCCCTGACTACATGACCTAGTTGCGAAAATCTTTCTCTATTGGTGAGCAGATACAAACGGCATTAGCCTTTATATGCCTGAAATAAACCGTAGCTTTCGCTGGCAGAAACTAATTAAGAGGGAAGACTAATTTCATACATAATTTTCCGCAGATATTGGCAGCTAATTAGCCACATCATCACCCATTACATAAGCCATATTGCAACTTGCACACTTTTCTTTCCGAACGACAAGAGAATAATTAGACATGATACTTTTCCTTGCCTAAAGGCATTTAACCAATTTCTTAAAGTAGTTTACGTGCCACGATTTGTTCGGAGGATATTTTCCAGTAGCAACTAGCGAATTTTTTTGTATCGAAACTAGGACAGACTCTCGATACAATCCAAGTTTTATTTGGAAGAGCACTTCAGTCAGCGTATTTGGGTTTGATCTTTGAATAAATAGCCTTAGAAAGCCACTTATGATGATAAGTTGTTCTAAGGTTTTCTAAATGCTGCACTGGCATGAACTTAATTTCGAATGATAGTTGAGCATGGCGAGTACCTCTTGACCTAGCATCATTTGGCTTTACTTGGACCTTGAGCCTGACTCAGTCCTCATCAGTTCCAGGGAAAACTCGCAGAGCATTTGTCCATTGATGGACATCCTCAGTGCAAGTACCCATTCAAATGACAATGTTGAGCTTGCAATACGTTTAATAAACTAACTGCATAGAATTTCCCTGCTATATTTACTTAGAAAACACTTTAACTAACCGGTGGCATAGAAAGACCTATAAAAAATTGTTCTGATCCTGTTTTCTCAACTTGTTTGTGCTGTCAGGATGATTACGAAGAGCACAACCGATACAGCGTCTGATCGTGGACTTTTACTCTCCCAGACATTTCGCCGGCATCGTAGTCATCATTGTCGATGCAAGAGACTAGCTTTCGAGAGTATCGGTAGTTCGCTTAAGGAGATTTAAGAACTGGCAGATGAGTCTTCCCAAATTGACCAAAGTAGCCTCAATTTAAAGGATTATCTATCTCGCCTAGTTTTCATCAGCATCCTCAATGGAACTCGAACTTGGTCGGTGTGCATTATGGTGGAAAGATACTATCTTTTTGAAGGCAAGGCCTCATCACATCGTGGAAAGACTCAACTATCAATCGCTAAATCCTCTTAAATAACCAAAGTTGTTCAATTTTCTGCAAAAATTGTGATATCCCTTCTCATGTCATTCATACATCGGGAAATATAGGTGTGATTATTGATTGATCAAAACGCACACACTTTCACTCAAGATGAGAAGCAGGTAAACAATGGTATACTATGAGATGATTAAAAGACTATTTCCTCATCATGGCTACAACCAAACATTGCCTGATGAGTAAGTGCCTACAGCATGAGAAATAAACACTAATTGAACTAAAGTGATAATTAGTAATTACTTGGATAACCCTACAGAAAGCACTTGTCTATCCTGGCCGGATTCCATTATTTCCATTTTTGTCACCCTCCCATACCGAATCAGCCCTCACCAGAACTTTGATTCGGACAGAAGAGACGACTGATATCATCCGTTTGACATGTGAAGTTCGCAATCCTCAGCCGCAGAGCAGTGTCCACTTGATCTGCCCACTGCTTGGGGCTGGCGAACGGTGCTTCGAGAATTGCCATCGTCTCTGTCCTTCAGGGGACGAAGTTGGCGGCTGTCGTGAGGCTGATGGCCTCTCGAGGGTGGCTTGCCGCCGAGTCGACACCGGCCATGCTCAGAAGCTGCATGACAATGACGCCGGCCGAAGAGATGCTGACGTCGACCGCGAGGTCAGCTTTGCGGACGCCGACTTGGACACTTGGCAGTTCGAGTACAGCCTGGACCGCTACGATCCCGCCATCAACGGGCTCTGGTACTGCCTGCACGTCGGTCAGGCCAGCTCCGAAGTGGACCTGAAAGCGAGAGAACGACCCCCCACAACTACGACTGCAACAACCACAACAACCACTTCAGCAGCTGCTTTGCCGCCACCAACATCACCGCTCTCGGTAGTAACATCCACCACGTCACCATCCGCCAGAGTGGTTGATCGGCTGCAAAGTACCAAATGGCCGTCGAGTCCGACCAGCGTTCAAGTGATCAATGGTCTCTCGGAGCCTGGATATTTCCAGGAGGAGGTGAACTCGAGACTAGCACAGGACTCGTCATCGCGAGGTTGGGGTCAAAAAGAAAGGGGTGCCAAGGCGAGTCATTATCAGTCGGCGAAAAATGGAACACGGCAGGCTGGCCGCATTGACGAAGAAGCTTTAGCTACAGATTGGCCTAGTTTTCCATGGAAATGTAAGTTGTATTCTTAAACCCATTCCGTATGTTGTCACTAGCAAGGAGCTGTAGCAAAAGTATATATACAGATTTAATTTGATTTCGATATGTGCACGTGTGCATAAGCACGAGCTTTACTGTCAATGTATGTGTGCATGTATATTGGTGATCTGGATCACAACTGTGATTAATAATAACCATACAAACAATGGCTATTTTCATTAACGACTTTATTTGTCTGGTGCGAGAACCAACAAAACCTTTCTCATTTTTTCAGCAATTTTCCCCATTCGGTAAGCACAATGATGGCCCATAAAGTTGTCAGCGAAAACAAGGGTAATTATATTCTTACCATTGTGGCTAATACATGATGTCCTCATTAATAACTGGCTTGTCTTTAAACACAGTTTAGTACTACTCATATCAGTTTTCAGTAGGATTCCGAGGCTATCAGAAGACCTTAAATAAGGGCTTTACATTTATAATCACTTCATCATCACCTTGAGCGATCTAGAATGACTAAATCTCTTATTCGCTACTAATTCGAGTGAATGATAATAATTTACTGCTTGAAGTACACGATTCACTTTTAGATCAAGTTTGAGCTCTTGATGAAATTCAGGGGAGGTGGAAACTTCCGTGTAACCTTCTACTCAGCTCATTTTTCACGTCTAACGTGACCTTAATGGCATATGATGACATGGATTTTTGATTTTTAACCTGTACACGATTTCTTATAAATGTTATATGTGAGCAGCGTTTAGCATATTTCGTTTAAGGTGATGAAAGACTGGTAGTTTAATTTTCCCACATTGATATGAGTAGACTTGAAGCTTTCATTGAATTTCACATAATGCTGCTTATCCAAAAGATTCTCATCCAGGATGTACCGCATTTCCAACCTCGCCTAGGTCGTCTTTACAACCCCAGCGGGATTCGAACCATAACAGGGGAGCGTATACTAATGACACGTTAACCATTACACTAAATTTCCACTACTGCTCTTAGGTCACAGGGCAGAGGTGAAATTTAAGGATGGTTAGGCATTCACTCGTATCATGTTCTGTGGTGGGATTGTCGATGAAGCAGACATATACTCGTTATAGCAATTAACGACTACTCATATTTCGTTTTGAGTAGATTTTCTAGGCTAACAGTAAATCCCGTCTGGGTCTGAGTCCCGCTGGGGTTGCTGATAAAGCCGGTTCACGCGAGGTGGATACTTCACTCCACTTTGGTATGGATGAGAATATTTTTTAGGAAAGCAATGCTATGTTAAATTCAATGGAAGCGTAAATTATACTCATAGAATTGTGGGAAAAATCAACTGCCAGGCCTACATGATCTTAAACGAAATAGGATGAACACGTCTCATTAAATCTCTTTAGCCGTTTGCATATAGTGTAAATAATAATTTATTTTTTCGCTCGCGCTGCAGCTTCACATGATACTGTGTTGACTGAGAGATATGCAGTGTCTAGGGCACGTTGTATACATTAAAGAGGAATTTGGTTTGCTGAGAAGTTTTCTTATATTTCATTTGCAATTTGTGCTTTCATAGTCATCTGTACAAGTGAGGAACAAATGCATCCTTGTGAGAATAACGCTGAGCTTTAGCTTGGGAAAGCCACCCGATAATTGACGGCGTTACCGGCCAGTCTGACAGACCTGCACAAATCCAAGTGGTAACTTTTTGTGGTAGATCAGCCAAATCGTGTGTCTCTTGTCACTCTGATATCACAGGGTGGATGTGCGTCTGCGGTGGGCATAGTTACAGACTCAATATGCATATCTTCTTTTTTGTTTGGCAAATGGGTTGATTTACTGAAAGTGTCAGTTTTCAGTAAGTCCTATCAGTCCTCTGAAATACACATTGGAGAGGAAGTCAAGAGATGAATGACTATCACGAGTATGCTACAGAGCTTAGTGGTTACCAGAAAATCAAAGAGCAACAGACACTTTCCCATCTTTGGCAAACTAAAGCAATGAAAAATTATTTTAAAGTGCACTCAGACAAATTTATACTATTCTCTTCGTATCACAGTCAGTAGGGGCTAGGTTAATATTTAGTCATAAGAACCGATATCAGTTTAACCCCCGAGTAATTGAAGAGAGTAAATGATTTTGTACTGAAATTCGCTGCGTTAGGGGTCCAAAATAGGCATCCACATCAGATCCTGGCGTCAGACTTGATCCAGCCTCAATCGCATCAACCAAACCAGAAGGACTTGGAGTCAGGAACTTCCCCTCCAGACCACACCTCTCTGGCTCCATTTTGCACCCAGAGTAGATCGGAGTTCAGAAAGGTCCGTGCTTTCCTGAAAGTCATTCGTTTCGTGTAGTCTGGAGGGTATCACAAACTCATTTGAACCCTTACATCTGCAATTCGAGTCTTCTATAAATAGTCAATGATAAGGCAAAGCTGAAACTGCAGTGCATTTTTTTTACAAAATCCTGTCTTAATTGGTGTAAAATGGAAAAAATCATATTCCAGATTGCTGAGATTGAAATAGTTCTGTATTAGATTACATTATTCACATGAATCTTGAAGAATTCAAGTGTTTCTCTGAATATCGTCCGCCTTAGCAACAATTTTCGGAAGACAGCCAATATCAGGCAAAAATATACTCCAAACACCACCCCATCAGGCATAGGTACCTTCGAAGCTAGAATTGGTTCGGCCTTGTTTTTAAAACTTTATCACGTTGTCAGGACGGCCTGGATAAACACACCTTGTCCTAAGTCCTCTGCCATAGTAGTCAGAATGATTTTCAGGATCGTGCCGTGAACTTGTTACATCCACAGACGTCTGGAAATGTATCAATTCCAGGGCTTGATGCTAAAAATCATATGACTACTATGGTGGAGAACTCCGGGCTAGGTGCTTTCATCCAAGTCACCCTGATTACACGAAAAAGTTTTGAAAATAAGGTCAATTCACTCTCACATAGTGGACTTCAACAAAAAAAGGAGACAACTGAATCTTATTTATCGAATAAGGTATTGTTTTCGTGACTACCAGTAAATCAGTAATATGAGATGTATTCACCCAA